AAATGTACGTACATTCATTCTGCACTATATTTCCTTTTATCTATATTTTTAAATTTAAAATTACTCGACTTCAAACAAAAAATCTAGTTGATATCTCCGAAAAGTTTACGTAGAATATAAGTTATTTTCTTACATAGAAAAAAGAAAGAAAGAAGAATACATAAGATAAATTTTGTTTATCTCTTTAAGTCTATATAATTGTGGCCGGATGGTTGACACTCGCACGCTCTGCGAGCTTATGCGATCGTATGTTCGAAATAGGGCTTCCCCTTTGTTCACACCTTTTTCCGGTTTTGATTTCTACTTTAACTGGTATGCTCCATCTTATATAGAAAAATTGTGCTCATTAAATCTATGTGTGGCAAAACCCAGCAGGCGTGGGTTCAAATCGTAGGCACCGCACCTGCATTTTCCATTTAATTATTTGAGGATTTTCATCATTAATCTATATCTATATCTATATACCTACTAATAAAGCAAGGTGTGTTTCTCCGATTTTTTCATCCGTTCACCATTAAAATTTATTTTTATATTCGAGGTGGTATTAAATTTTTTTTTTTGAGAATCTCACAAAGCTTTATTACTGAATCATAATGTTCATAGGTACAAAAAAAAGATCGCCGGGTTGTCCTAGCCAAGTGTGTCGGCCAAACCCTAAAGATAACGCATGCTTTGCGAGATTATGGGCCTCCGTATTGGAGGTCCTATACTCATGAGTAAACGAACATGAAATAAAGGTAGTTGCTCTAGCCTTGATTTCCTCGACAATGGCTCCAAATTCCGCTGAGCTTCCCTGTCTGATTGCATCTACCACCACCTTGCAATCGGAGGCAACAAGTAAATGGTTGATATAGAGATCTTCTGAAAGTGCTAATGCCTCCCGAACAGCTAGTGCTTCTAGCACCTGGGGGTTGTGCAGTCCTCTGAAAACGAGAGCTGACGCTCCCATGAACAAACCTCTCTCATCCCTGCAAACCACACCAACTGCGCCAAACGTACCTGGGCGTGACACGGCCGCGTCCACATTGAGTTTGTAGTAATCTGTTGGTGGTGTAATCCACGTACGGGGTCGTGGTACTGCTATCCCATGTGCTTCCTCCTTCTTCTTCAAAAACTCTATGTCTGATAAGTAAGCTTTGATGAAGTTGCCAGTGGCAAACGGAGTCTGGTATTAAATTTTTGTGCATCTGTCTGTATTTTTAGCAATACAGAATTTCGTACTCGGCCCGCACACGCAGTGGCCCAGCAACAGCAGCCCACTTATTTGCCTGCCCATGTACCTGCAAAAAGCCTATTTCTAGCCTTGTGCGTCAGATAGTTAGAGTTCGCACAGGTCGCCCAAGACTGGGCCGGCGCATTTTGTTTTTTCGTCCAATTTATTTTTATTTTTACCCTATTTCGTAATTTCAAAATTTTAAATAAGTTCAGAATTTGATTTTTTTGTCAAATTTTATTGTTCGAATTACAATATTGTCTTCCACTTTTCAAAATGTTTGAAAACTAATTTTTTTCTCATTCAGCTTTTCTCAAATTCTGAAATACTCCAAAATTATTTGTGATTTAGAAAACATGTGTTTTATAAAATAATCGAAATTTGAAATATATTCTTGCTTTAGTAAGATGTATACATATTCAAAATAATGTTCGCGTTTAAAAAGACATTATACAATATTGTTCTGAATGTTCAAAAGATGTCAATTTTCAAAAGTCGATCACATATTAAAAATATGTTTGGGTTTGATAAACGGTTCATGTCTTCAAAAAATGATGTTGTTTCAAATTTTATTCATGTTTTTGCCAAAATGGACGGAATATTAATAACATTGTATGTAATTTCAAAAAATATTCATGTTTCCAAGAATATACGGCAATTCATATTATTTTTAAAGTTTGAAAATCTATATCTATATCTATACCTACTAATAAAGCAAGGTCCGTTTCTCCGATTTTTTTATCCGTTCACCATTGATTTTTTTTAATATTCGAGATGGTATTAAATTTTTGTGCGTCCGTCTGTATTTTTAGCAATACAGAATTTCGTACTAGGCCCGCACACGCTGTGGCCCAGCAAAACCAGCCCACTTATTTGCTGCCCATGTAGCTGCAAAAAGCCTATTTCTAGCCGTGTGCATCAGATAGTCAGAGTTCGCACAGGGCGCCCAAGACTAGACCGGCGCATTTTGTTTTTCCGTCCTAATTTATTTTTATTTATACCCTATTTCCCACACGTTATTTGCGCAACTAGCATCATAGTAGCTCCCACGCAACTGCCCTAAGAAAAGATAAAATATACATATAGATTTTGTTCCATCCATTCAACATGTAGCTCCCCAATTTTTTCGGTTATCCCTGGGGTGGGCCAAACTGGACTTGCCACGTATTTCTTTTTCTGTCGGACGGACGAGCAGCAACAAAGGGCACGAGAGGATTGAACTATGGACCTTCCCTATTGTGCCGACGGATAAAATTAACTCAACTAGTTTGTAATTATGATAGGAACAGTCCCATCTTGAAATTTTATACTAAATCACACCGGTTTTTATATGTCTCTAAGTTGTGTGGAAATAAAGAGGTTGTGTGAAAATAAGGAAGTTGTCTCGAGAATTATGAGGAGAACGAGGGACTCCATTTCTCCGTCCTAATTTATTTTTATTTATACCCTATTTCCCACACGTTATTTGATGCAACTAGCATTATAGTAGCTCCCATGCAGCTGCCCTAAGAAAAGATAAAATATACATATAGATTTTGTTCCGTCCATTCAACGTGTAGCTCCCCAATTTTTTCGGTTATCCTTGGGGTGGGCCAAACTGGACTTGCCACATATTTCTTTTTCGGTCGGAAGGACGAGCAGCAACAAAGGGCACGAGGGGATTGAACTATGGACCTTCCCTATTGTGCCGACGGATAAAACTAACTCAACTAGCTTGTAATTATGATAGGAACAGTCCCATCTTGGAATTTTATACTAAATCACGCCAATTTTTATATGTCTCTAAGTTGTGTGCAAATAAAGAGGTTGTGTGAAAATAAGGAAGTTGTCTCGAGAATTATGAGGAGAACGAGGGACTCCACAAATTATTGCCGGAGGTAACTTGCATGTGCCAATAAAAGACAAAATGATAGTTGGCTATAATGGAAAATAAAATTGTGGGCACGTGCTGATAAAAGAGAATAAGCTGGTTTTGGTGTAATTAATAAAATTAATGGGCACGTGAGCGCAAAAATAGTTGAAGAGAATAAATCCTGATAATAAAGAGATATTCATGTCTGGTTATGCACTGAGTATTGTTATGAAACATAATTTATACGCTGCAATTAGTAATCCATCTCGTTAGGTCGTCGTAGGAGAAAGTGGTCGAAGCAACCATGCCTCGAAGGTCGTCGCGCAGCACCAAAGGAGGACGCAACCACAACTCCGAGACAGAGGTGAACCCAGAGAAAGAAAAGGTCCCAGTTGCGTGGTCGCCACCACGCCGACCAACCCCATCACTATCCAAACCTTGTGGGCCAAATATGACACGTGAGAAGACAGCAACTCCTCACTCTATCACCCTCCACGTGGAGACAATATTTTATGAACACATCAATTATCTCACCAGCTGCTTGTTGCAAAAAAAAATATCGCCCCGTTGCAACGCACGGGCATATGTGCTAGTAAATAAAATGCAAGGTGGCTTTCTAAAAAAAAGTGTGTGCGGATTACACACTGACAGCAGCACCCCGCCGCGTTGGCATGCCACGCGTGCACGAGATACGGACCAATAGTGCAGAAAGCACCGTATATGAACCAGAGGACAAGTTAGATGACTGGGAACACGTATTCTGCAAGTTTATGCACCAAACTGACCGTTGCGCGCAAGTTCTATGACTCCGGGTGTATTTACCTCAAGTACTCCCTCCGTCCGAAAATACTTGTCGAAGAAATAGGTAAAGATGGATGTATCTAAAACTAAAATGCGTCTAGATACATCCATTTCTCCGACAAGTATTTCCGGACGGAGGGAGTATATAGTACCTCCAGACAATATATCCTGTTTTAGCCCACCTTCCATTACAACCAAAATGCACTAAGAGTATGCAGACAAATAGACAATTAAGTTAAGCAGCACTAGCCAATGTGGTCTGGATGCGCACCACTGGCTAATTATTAATAAAAAAAAAAGATCTAGAAGGCAGCCATTCAAAACAGTAGTGCCTCTCCTTAATTGGATAACCACCTATCCTTATTGTTGCTAGGTTATTGGGAACCCCATTGCTATGTTTCAAGTTCCCTTTTGGGCTTGCTTGAACCTCAGACTCTTTGACATTTGGACAAGCACAACAAGATAGCAACTTAAATCTTGTTGGTTATTAGGGGCAAAGATCCTCCTTTGTGCCACTATGGCTACGAATAACATTGCACAAATGTTCAAACAGGATCAAGCTATATGGATAGCTAGCTGCACTGAAAAGATAATTTGGTTTGTGCAATAATAGAGTTGTAAAGTGGTGGACTGGCTTTCTTTTCTTGAGACAAAGTAATAAACTAAAGGGGGCTACTCTTTGATCAATGGTTCTTTTTTTTTGTCTGAAAAAGGATTCAGTGTCTCCCTTTTATTTTTCTTCGCGAAGAAGATAGACCATAGTTCTTGAGAATATCTGAATATGCATGCATGGATCTCTTGCCACCCTTTTTCCCTTCAATTTGCCTGGCATTGCAACCATTGCTTCAGATCTTCTCCATATGAGGTTAAGTTCCACTGGCACTAATAGAGCATTGAATGGTTCAAATTCCATCAAGTACTACAAGTAACAAAATCATGAATGATGTGCTGGCTAAGACAAGAAATGACAGCTGAGCTGAGTAAACCAATTGAAACGGAATGCCTTGTGGTATTTTGTAAAGTTGCATACGAGCATGCATGCATGGTTCATGCTTACATGACCGCGGATGGTTCATGAAACACTACTCCTCGTATCTCCACGGTTACACGATTAACATGCATGCCAGGCTTAAACTAAATCCAGCCATTTATCGATGATGAGCAGAGCGCTTGCATGCCGACGCCCAAGAAGTCCCTGGTCTCCTCCCTCCCGACGGCGTCCTTGAGGCCGGCGTGGCGCGCCGCCGAGAACACGTCGTACGGCACGTTCCCGGTGGCCGCCGAGAGCTCGCCCATTGCGCTGGGGACGTTAGCATTGTGCTGGCTCGCGCCGAAAAGAGCTCTGTCGTCGAACTTGCTGCGCTCGTCGATCCGCCCGGCGGAGTTAGGCACCTGCTCAAAGGCCCCCGCGAGCGGCATCGAGGTGTTGGAGGACGTGACGGAGCCGATCTGCGCGGCTCTCTGCAGCAGCGCCGTCGCCGACATGTCGGTGGGCGCCGCGGCCGGCTTCGCGTGCTGCTGGCCGCTGAACACGGACGGCGCGCTGTCCGCCTCTCTGGAGGAGTTAGTCGTCAGCTCGCTGGCGTTAGATGACGAGAGCTTCCCGTTGCCGCCGTTGTTCCCGTACAGCCAGCTCAGCTGCGCCATGTCGAACTGAGGCGGCGCACCGGAGCTCGGCGCGAAGAGATCCGCGTACATCTGCATTGGCATTGGCGCGCCAGTACCACCACCACCGGACGACAGGAGACCGCCAATGTGGTGGCCCATGGAGGACGGCAGCGTGTTGTCGCTGCCCCACAGCGAGAGCCCTCCGTGCCTCGCCGCGGCGCCGTCGCAGAGCGGGTCCCCGACGGCGCCCGCCGCGTGGCCGAGTATCTGCCCTCCTGCGGCGGCAGGCTTGAGGTGCGCGGTGAGCGGCGGCTGGAGCATCATGCTGTTCGGCCTGGCGAAGAGGTATCCTTGCCCGCCGCCGCACATGGACGGCACGGCCGCCACCGCGGCGCCTGAACTAGCGGCCGTGAGCCTGGCCGTCTCCTCGGCGAGCGCGTCGCAGAAGGCGCGGTGCGTGATGAAGCTGTCCCGCCTGGAGAAGAGGGTGCCGCAGTCGCAGCGGTACTCGCGCGTGCCGCAGGTCTTGGAGTGGGCCTTCCAGTCGGACTGGACAGCGTAGCGCTTGGCGCACTTGTCGCACTTCCACTTCTTCTCGCCGTGCTTGCGGCAGAAGTGCTTCTTGATCCCGGTGAGGTCGCCCAGCGCGCGGGACGGGTTGTGGTGGACGCAGCTCTTCTCGGGGCAGACGTAGACGCGCTTCCTCGGCTCCTTGCCGCTCCGCTGCCGCAGCTTCCAGGGGAGGTTGTGGCCGCGCCTGTGCAGCTGCAGGTTCTGGTCGCGCTGGAACCCCTTGCCGCAGATCTCGCACACGAACCGGTTCGTCGCCATCAGCGTCCGCGGCGACAGCGCGATCACCTCCGCGTCAGGGTCTGCAGTCAGTGCACACGATCGACCACCGGTTGGAATTTGCAAACAGACAACATGCATGCAGCTGCAGCTCTGCTGCAGGGGATATACGTACTGAGATTGGACGACTTATTACCTGGTGTGCCGGGGAGATTGCGCTTCTTCTTCGGGGGAGGAGCGGCAGGGTGTTCATGGGACGGCGGCTGCTGCTGCTGCGGCTGGTTGGTGAGAGGAGCGAAAGGGTTGGGCATGGCTTCACTCGCCATTATTGTGCTCCTTCTTGGCTTGGTGTCTTGCTAGCTCTTGATGAGATTGTTGTTGTTGGTCGACGTACTGCTGGTGCTTAACTAGTCTTGATTTGGAGACAAAAGGGCAACTTTTGTTCTTAGGTCGGTGTGGGGCATCACTCAAGCAATCTAAACTAGTAGTGGAAGCAACAATACCAGCAGCTGGATTAATATAGGAGAGAGCAAGAGAGGGGAACTGGGTTAGTGAGACGGAGACTA